CAGTTTCTTTTGAATCAAGAAAAGAAACAACAATTCTAACACTACAGACAAAAATTAATTGAAAACTACGTTGGGTTGCTTCCCAACTAGCGCTAAGTTTAACGTCTTTGGCCGGACACATTCACGCACTGTTCCTATCTATACTCCCCAACTCACTTTCATCTTCYGACAGATTGGGTTCAGATTGGGCTAACCACGGGGTAGGCAGGGCATCTAAAAGATCATCAACTACATCTATTTTTCCCTCATCTTCCCCTAGGTTGGATACTTTGAGGCACTAAAAACGTTTAACCAGACTTTCTACTCCCCTAATAAAATGTCCATTTCTTTCGATTTACAGTTTGTATTAGCCGTTGCTAGAAACGAACATCTTAAGATTATCGGGATGTGGTTCAGTTCCTCGGTTAGGGTCATGTCTGGGATGATGAAATCCACTGGGAAGTGACAACCCTCTAGCCTGACAATGACGCCCTCAATAACACTTCGAGGGGTCTTAACTRACCAATCAGCGAGTTGCAGAATTACCGGGGTAGGTTCTAACTCGTCAATCCTGAACCTATCATGAATGGATGGAAGCATATTTATACTTACCCCTAGATCCAATAAGGTCCGACCGAAGGTGATTCCAAAGATGACACAACTTATGAGAGGAACATCAGGATCTTTCAGTTTTTGGGGAAGTTGGTTTAGGAGAGCTACACTAACATCTCCCAAGAGCATTATTTTTTGTGGGGCCGATCGTGACTCCATCATTTGAGTACACAACTCTTTTAAAATCTTGGCATAGGTCGGGACATGTTGGATCAAATCAAGGAGAGGGAAGTTAATATGGATTACCCTACTCTTCTCGTTGCGAGTCTCTTTCTTCTTTTGCATCGGCCTGATGGTGAGTGCAGTTGGCAAGGGAACTACGGGTTGGTTCACTAAAGGTTCTTCTTCTAAAGTTTCCTTTCCTTCTTCTTCTCCCCGCAACTTAGGGTCCTCCTGCCCATTTTCTTCTTCATTAACTCTCTTTTTCTCACACGGGTTCTCTAACATCCTCCCACTCCTTAAGGTTGTAATAGCCTTAGTATTTTCAGGTTAAGGATTCTTAGAAGGTGGTTGAATTTGTTGTGGAGGAAAACCCGGTGGATGATTTTTAGGACTTGCGACCGTTGACTCGGTATTTGCCCTACTTCTCTCCTCGCCTTGGCTTCGGCTTGCCATCCTATTTTGCTTTCTAATCTACCGATGGATTGCTGCTAGTTTAGGATCAGCTACTAAAGCTACATGAATTAGTCATCTACTGTATGGCTTTAAGGAGGTTGAGGGTAAGTTTGATACAATTGGGCCAGTTGGTTCCAAGGATACATCTGCTGGATTTGGGTATGCCCTTGTGGCCTCTGAAATTGTTGGGCCATAGAGTTAGATGGATGGTACTGCTGGAATTGTGTGTAGGTTTGACATGG